AAGAACGCCAATATAGTTTACGAAATGCTAACTTGACATAAAGTTCTTGAAATCCCTGTAACATTAACTTATCTGTCAAGTAGCCTGTCTTGGTTTAAAAAATGATCGTACTATAAGCATGCTTTTGTATCGAATAAGATTGGAGACGTAAACACCATACACAGGTGATAGCGGAATATTACTATAAGAATAAGGAAAGTTGATGATGGAAAAGCTGACGTGATCTCGTTTGTCATACTATATCAAACTTTGACACTTCTGAAAGGAAACGGAATGATCGTGAAGTCGTTGTTCTGTAGGTTATTTAACGTAAGAAAAACACTTTCAGCAAATTTATCTGCACTCATCATGGAAAGATACGGCGTTTCTGATATTTACAAATTTTGAAACTTCAGATGGAATAAGTTAATTAAATTGCAGCTTTGCGAGACGGACAACGCCATTTACACAAGAAACAAACAATGTACGAGCAACATGAAGCACAGTGAAAAATTCGGGTAAAATAAGAATCGAAAGAGGTTAAATATGAAACAAAAACATTGTGTACCAGTAAGTACATTGTATCACACGCTACTTGGAGGTTCTATAAAATGTGTTGTCCATTTTCATCTTTCATAAAATATTTCTTTCAGAATATGTTGTTGCAAAGCATTTCTCGATAACATTCATTATTTACATTTGCAAATATTTTTCTTAGATGAACCTATTGAAGAGAAAATATGTTCAATTCTGTATGAACTAATTAGGGGGTCAGAGGTCATGGTGTGACCGAATCACACAGCTTGTCTAGGCCTACATATTTCTGTCACGGTGACACTGGTTTCGGAACTTCTAAGCCGTTAAAGGGCTGAAAAAGGTAAAAATTATTGAAACATATGTGTCTTTTTTCGTTCAAAAAATGATCATTAGTTCTTTCTTCGGTGTGAAGAATGTTTTTATTAGCCTAAATTCACGCTTACCTTTTTAACCCGAAATTCCTTTGAAGGTATGTGAACTGAAGACGATACCACCGCTTTTGACTTCATATATTAAGAACTCATACAATAAAAGTAAGATTATTCTCAGTAGCGATCATTGTTTTTTCATTATGAACAGATATTTCCTGAACTGGACTGCTGAACATCAATGTAATTATTCAAATGTTGGAGCGAGGCGAACTCTCAAGACCAAACAGCTTCTAGGTCATTGCGCGTCACAACATAGCAATACGGCGGGCCGTTCGTGTAATAAATGTTGTTTAAGAATATCCGTCTCAAATGTAAATAAAAGTAATACTCAGTAAACAACAACGTTAAAAAGTTCACTGGGAAATGAACTTGGTTGGTACGTGATCAAATCTTCTGAGAACTTTTTAACATTCTTGTTTATTTCTTAAATAATCATGTTATGAATTTAATCACATAGTCAGAAATATGCAAAATTACTTTACTTCAACACTTTGCGTATTCCACTTTTTTGGATCTCATTTATTAAGACAAAATATTGAGATGAATCGAAAAAATCATTTTTAAATTTTTTTTTTTAAATTTTATTTGTCATTATATAACATGCAACGTAACTGAAAAGAAGTTTTTTGAAATGTTTTACAATATGATTCATTTGTTTTCTTCTTACCAAATTGTCATTGCCTTCACTATTTTTTTTTTTCAATCTGAAGTTGATAAATTTATTTTTACAGACCAATATGCATTATAATTAAATCGATACTCCGATCACTTTTTTACGAAGATGTTTTCATTTTAATTCTTTTGCCCTTGAGATGTACAACTCATCGGGTTATATCATAAATGTTCACAAATATACATATATTATTATTTTTAAAAAATGGGGAAGTGGAGCGAAAAAATTATTCTCAATTTGAAAGTTTGTTAATAATTTTGTGTAATTAATTAATTAAAATTCAAAATTATCATGTGAAGGTAGACGCATCATACAGTGGGGGGAAGGTCAGTGTTCCTGATCTGAAGTCCACTTAAGGAAATCGCTCCCCCCAAAATAGTCTTGAGGGTAAATATAGATAAAACATTTCCACTTCAGGAAATTGGGTCATCAATCACAGGGACCTCAGATCGACACAGGGTTGCTTCAACTTTACCAGATGTTAGAATGCAAAATAAGATGTATAATTCTAAATGATAAAAAAAAAAAAAAAAACACTTAATTTGAAAAGTCTTATTAATACTGTGATAAATAGATCTGCCTCAATTGTAGCTCTTTATTATTTTTATAAAGAAAGATAGAGGAAGAAACAACAGAAGTTTTCAAAAAGTGGGAATTCTTTTAACAACCAAAGGGTGCCATGTATACTTTGAATATTGTTTCCAAATATATGAGCCACTGCTCAGTAATCAGGAAAAACAATATATTCCATTCAGTCTTATCAAGTGTAGATTTGTTGACATTTTTTTAAAGATTAAAATGAAGACCAAAAATTGTAAAAACACAGTGAAAGGTATTATAGTATACATGCAATCAAGTGTTTAAAGAGTTCTCAGGCCCTATATTCAGAATTCTAGACCACGTAATTTAACAAGATTTTTCAAGAATCAATGACCCCCCTGTACTTTTAGTTTTATTTATCTTAAGTTAAAAGAAAAGAGGCAATCGATTTTCTCTTATTGAAACTATACCACGGATTAACCTTATATCTTGAAAGTTTATAGAGTTTGCATCGTCATGTCTTTTTCTGCTTAGTCATTTAAAGACGTCTAAAGTTAACCTTGAACCATTTATTGGAAAATCTTCCCAAAGATCAACGAAAGTCCCTACTACTCTGACTCTGTGACCTCGTTGAAGTGAAAAAGTCTTGTCCAAAGGGGTATTTAATGTTTAGATTATGTCCGAGGTCGTAATTTCACATAACCTGTATTCATATACGGCCACTTCGATTGTTGGACTAGTTCTGCTATTATATATGGACAAACACTTGTTAATTGTCTAAAATTGATGGAGTTGCATAGATAAGGCTAATTCAGGTTCCGATTTTATTAGCAAAAAATGCAGTTCGTCTCAAGTCAAAAAAAAAAAAAAAAAAAAAAAAAAAAACACCTGTCGATTTCTAACGCTCCAGCGGTCCAACATCATGTAAACTTGTAACCAAATATATTTCTGAAATTGTCAGTGATGGCGATAAATTCTACCCAATTTAATCATGTTGAAAACAAATGTGCATGTATATAGGCAGCAGTTACTTTAAATCGGTTGGCATTACTAGTATTTGGAGATAGTTATAAATTCCAGATATGATTGTCTTAATAACTGAGAATCTTGAAAATATCAAAGTTTTGATCATCTGATCATCATTCAACAAGGTGCAAAACTTGGAAAACTGCAAGGATGGATTTTCACCATGTACTTAAACAAGTTCCCATTCTCTTGTATTAAAGATAAATTTCATTTCAATAACAAATTGTTCATTTTAATTGAGATAGATTGAAATATTGAAACGAGACTTAGTCCTTATAATTGCCATATTAGATTTTATTTTTACATTTTTCCATCGCCTTATTGATAAATTCCGGGGGGGGGGGTATTGGAGTAGAAAAAAATTAAGATAAATATTGATACATTCCTGTTTCATTTATGTATCAATTGTGACAACGATTGGACATACCACCGAAAAAAATCTTATGTTTTCAAAAAGGAAGAAAATCCTAACTTTACCATTTTTACCTATATTTATTTGCAATACATCAAATTAAACCACGACTTCGCGTACTAATTAGAAATAATTACATTGCTTCAGAATATTAAAATTGTTATTGTTGTAAAGAATAAGTCTTCGATCTTACATTCGATCATAGAAACTGGTATGTGTTATTTTTCTGGAAAACAAGATATGAAAGGGATATGCATGTACACGCATTACATTGTGTACATTCTTTTGTGACAAAGTTTTCACGTTCGAGATGACTGTTGTTTAGCTAATATTTTGTTTGAAATAATATATTTAAATTGTACATCAAAATAAACGCATTGGTTTCCTAATTATGCCAATGATTCCATAAAATGAATTAAATAAACCACAATTATCATTTATATTAACAAGTTAAAGCTGTTCAAAAGTTATAACGTTAAATTTGCTTGTATATTGCTTGCCTATAATATTTGTTATTGTTATGTCTTAATTTCATCTATGTGTATGTTTATGTAAACAAAAAGATTTTTTTTTCTATTTTAAAATGACGATATTGTGTCGATAACAGATTTTATTTTGTCTCTCTGTGTATATATTCCTTCTACCTTATTGAATTTTATTCACAATCAATCTGATTTATATGCAGAACCAAATCTCCGTACTAAACAATATTATAAATTGTCTGTTTACTTATTTCTAGTAACTTTGTCAGCTGTTTTAATAATAAATTATCTATCACTGCAAGGAAATTTAATTTTTCATTACTATGATATTTATAGAATTTACTAATATATTTTTTATTTTTCTTTAAGCATGAAGTCCTGATACAATAGGACTGAAGGTTGAAAAATAATAACTGTTGTAAATGAACAAAATTTGGACAAGGAAGTATTATTAATTACTCTACTCACTCAACACGTGCATGCAGTGCATGTTTATATTTGACGTTGTGAAAAGATCGGCTGTACTTCAAACATGTTTGGTATTTATCTAAAAATATAAAGCGCACGTTTATTTTGCACATAATACAGCATATCCTTTCGTACGCAGGTTATTTTATTTTTCATAAAAAATGATCAACAGGTTTTTTCATAAAAAAAAAATGATCAGCAAAATTTGAGGAAAATTAAGATTTTCTCGAATAATCTTAACTTTTTCTATTTTTCAGATTCCTTGATAACTGTACCCTACATTAAAAGATATATGGATTCCTCACTTGCTGATTCATCACTAGAACTCAAGTATAGTCACACGAACATTTTTTAAACTTTTTATCATCTTTATTTTTAGCTAAGAAAGTCATAATTCAAACTTAACAAGTAACAATCAAAAATTTATCACAGTAACTAATTTCACAATAAATGAGAGCAAAATACAGGAAACCGCATTATGTGTATCCTTTCTTGTCTTTCACATTGAATAATATATTCACAGGAAGGTAAATGCACGTTCTGTGAATATATAGTAAAGTTGGTAATCTTTGTTATATTACAGTTCAACTTCTCACCCACTGAGGCACAAACGTCCCTGAATCAAACGGCGGTGATATGATGACTTCTAATAAAAACTCCTCTCTTGTATCCACCGTTTTTGAGTTTTCGGATAACTGACGCAGTGTCCATTATTACGAAAAATTCCGCACTCACAGAGATAGGGGTCTCTCTGCATATGTAATTCATTTTTGTTCATTTTCCTTCAACTGTAGCGAGATAGTTTGCCCGACCACTTTCTGCTTTCGACCTGTACATTAATGCCATTCTTAGGAACAATGGCACCACGACACTCCAGTTCTATTTCTTTAGATGCATCACAAGGTTTGAATGAGAACTGCTTCAGAATTCGGACCATGGCGATCTTAGTTTCTAACATGGCGAATCGTGAACCGATACAGCTTCTTGGACCAGCACCAAATGGCAAAAAGGAGTAGGGTTTGATATGTTGCTTGTTTCCTTTTCTGAACCTAAAAGATGAATACACAAACAATATTATAATTACTCTGTGTGATATTTTGAGGTTTAAAGAACATGGTGAATGTTTTCCTTTTCATGGACAAAAGAGTCAGTATCGCATTTCCTTACCTCTCAGGGTTGAAAACAGAGGGTTGATCCCAGAATTCCTTGTCATGATGGAGACCCCAAACATCAGCCTGTACATTCATTCCAGCAGGAATAGTGATTCCATTATAAGTAGCTGTTTCTTTGGCTTGTCTGGTCACAATTCTAGAAATCATGAAAGGCAAATGCTTTGTTACTAAATATAATACTTTTTTCCAGATCAAAATTTCTGGAAAATATCAACTCAAGAAATTAACATGCTAAGATTCTTACAATGATGCTGTTGGGTAGAGTCTGCAAACTTCGTCAAATACCATGTCGAAATAAGGTAGTTCTTTCACGTTTTCGTAATTGACTTCATTCTGGAAAAAAGAAAAAAAATCAATTTGTCTCCAACAAATCCTTTTTTTTTTTTTATCCCAGAAGTCTTTTTACAATCTAAAATGAATCCCTTTGTCGGATACTCTCTTACCTCTCCAATAATGGAGTCAATTTCTTCCGCCAACTTCTTTTGACTGCATGGGTTGTGCGCCAGCACGTGACTCAGGAATGCTAGAACTGTACTGGTGGTTTCGTATCCCGCCAAAAGGAAGGTCATACTCTGTGCCACGATCTCCCTCTCACTGAACGCACTACTCCCATCCTTGACTTTCGAGAAGAGCATTTGCTGAACCAAATCAAAGGTACTAGCATTTGCCTGTTAAGAAATCATAATGTGCTGTTTATAACAGAAATCATATATGTTAGTAATTGTCAGTACATGATTTTTTTTACTTGTACGTTTCTTTGTATGTGATTATTTTTTCACTTTGTTCAGATGATTATAGCTTACCCCCATTTCCTTCCTAATTTCGATAATCTCCTTCATTTTCATCCTAATCCACACCACTGGGTTCATCCCAAATAGGACCACGATGTTTTTAAGTGCAAAAACAAAGTACTGGAGGAAAGGAATCAGCACTGAAAATAAGAGAAAGAAATTTAGTGAAATCTGGTCATTTGATACAAAATTTTCACAAGTTAACAGACATAATGACATTAAAACAAAATAGTAATCCAAGTATACTTACTGACTGCTGGAAGAATCATGGTTTTGCTGAGACGGTTGAAGAGACTTCTCACATTGGTCAAGAAAGGATCTTCCTCATCTACCTGGGCATTTGTGCGTAACCCAAAAGCACATCGACCGATAACATCCAAAGTCAGACATTGGTAGAGGCTGAAATATAGAAATAAATTAATTCTATTGTTAATTCTTTTACAGGTGTATTACTTTTCCGTACACTTAATATATAAGCAATTGAAGATTGATAGTTTCTAACACTTACTCATAGATGTCCAACATTTTGGAAGTCTTTGTTTTTTTCTCCATGTTCTCCAGGAAGTGGTCGGTACATTCATTCATGATTCCGAACATTTGTTTCAGTTTGCCAGCACTGAAGGCAGGCGTCAACAATGTCCTGCTGCGCTTCCACTGGTGTCCATTCTCTAAGAACAATCCTAAGCTTTTTCTTGGAGCCAAGGGGAAGGGCTGCAAACAGAAAAAAAGTTCATCAAGGTTAGAACCATTTTGTTCTTGAATTAATAAAGATCTTAATTCGCTTTCTTTTATTTCTATGTCTTATTTATCTAGCTAGTTTGTACCTTTCTTGATTGGAAGTTCTCGAAGTCTTTTACCAAAACTTCCTTAAGCAGCTCTGGGTCACTGACAGAAAGAACCGGGGTATAGCCTTCAAAGTATCTGCAAAAAGAATGAAATTATTAATCATCCGTTTTATTAACACCTGTTTTAATCATGCTTATTTTTATTTATCATACCAATGTTCAATGTATTTAACACAGTAGGAGTTTATTTGAGCAGGTGTACCTACCCAAAAACTCGCCCATATTCCTTTCTCCAATCAATGATGGCCTGCAACTGTCCCTACAATCGCAACACAAATGAAATAATTAACAATCGTAATTTAAAGAAAGTTTGGAATAAAAGATGTACGTATATTATTTGCAGGGAAAGATGGCAAGGAAATCCGTACAAGCAACCCACTATAACCCAGTACTGAAGCATTAATGACTAATAAAGATAAAGAAATAAGTAAATAAATTTGCAGCAGGTTTTTAAGCATTTTAATAGTTTGAAATATATTCAAGATTAAAAAAGAAGTCGATGTTAATTAAGTATTACCTTTTTCAGAATTTCTGGTAGATTGCCGAGGAAAAGAGTCGGTTTTGGACCTGGGATTCCGAGCCTTTCAAACGTTTGAAAGTGATAGACAAAATATCTGAAAATAATAATTAGATTTCTTATATTACGCTGGAAATAAACACGAGTCGGCTAGCTGTCGTAGATATAAATGATGAGTTTGAAGCACACTAAGATGTTATTGCATTGAAAAGGGCTATTTATTTATATAATATGTATAACGCTAGTGTTACATAGATACACTTACTTGTAGAGCGCCAGAGCGAGGGTTACTCCAGTTAAAATGAAAAGTATCATGTTGTCATAAACAGTAAGAAATATCCGTCTAGTATATATATATATTGCTTTGAATATGTTACCTTCAGAAAGTACTCATGCGATTTAAACCACCTAACACATAGTATCATTTTTATTCATAAAATTGGATTGTTTTTCCCACGTAATGCGCATGCCTAAGAGGCGGAGTTAACCAATACAAAGTATATCAGTGGACCTAGATTTGGAATTTGAAGGGCCGTGTTTTTCTAATTTGAAATATTTATCACTGTAGTCGATGATAAGATGGCTAAAATATTCTTTATATAGAACCATATCTGCCTTTAGAAGTCACATTTAAAATATATTCCAAATTTAGACACAACATCTCAAGTGTTTTCTAAATACAGAAACTTTTAAGATGTGTGAATGAAGGCCCTGTTCAGTCTCTGAGCCAAGGGATTTACTATTGATTAGAATGCCTTATTTAATTTAAAGTTCACCTTTCAGTTAAGGAGATTGTTTATTATTGCATTAAGGTATTCGTACAGTTCATTGACTTTTTATTTTCATTGTGATTTTTACTATGGATTATTTAAAGTTAACCAGTTGAAGTTTTTTTGTTGTTTTTTTTTAATTGAATGAATTTATTCCTATTTAAAATCGGTATTTGAAATAATTTACTTTAAAAATTGTCTAGATTTTTTTTTAAGAAATCACGATTTAATAAGATAGGAAAGTTTTCAATAATATTAAAAAAAAATTGTAATTTTTCTTATTTTTTTTTTAAATCATTAAAAAATGTATTATTAACCATTAAATTAAATTACACTTAAATTTATTATTAATCATTGAATTAGATTAAATTTGAATATGTAAAAGAAGATGAAAATATCTTTAACTTTTGCATACTCAATAATTTTGTTGATGATGATATTCGAGAGGCAAATGTAATACTTGCATCTATTTTCCTTGTAGTAACTTATTTATATGGGAAATTAGGTAATATTTTAAATTACTAAAAAGTTTTCTGTAATTTATTCCTATACGTATCCTTTTCTTTTGAAGCTGTTTTGAAACAGTTTAAATTTTGCTATGGTTATAGTTGTTTTTGTTTTGGATTGGGAGAGTATTTTTACCGATAGAAACATAATACAATATATATAGTCTTATGGTTAATCAATATTTTTTCTGCTTATGGCTGATCTCGATCATGTTTTTTGTAAATTAAAATAGTAAAAAAAAAAATACATATTTATGAAAAAAATTGTCCATAAATACAAAGGTATGAAAACATCCTTCATTTATATGATCATTTTGATATATTTCAAAATATGAAAAGTTATTTCATTTTTTTTTTTTTTTTTGGCAAGTATTAACTTAATGCTATTATAAATTCCTTTATATATATATATATATATATATATATATATATATATATATATATATATATATATATATATATATATATATATATATATATTTTTTTTTTTTTTTTTTTTTTTTTTCAGAGGAGGATAAGGAAAAAAAGGTTATTTTTTTAAATTCTACAGTGAGGAGAAATATCCAGTCTTCTTTAAATTTTAAATAAGAGAAATGAAGTTTTTTATTTAGAAAATGTAAAGTAAATGTAAAGTATATAAATACATAAATAAATAAATATAAGTATAGTAAAAATAAAATTTAAAAAAAAAAAAAAGAAAAATCTGTGAATATGTACTTATTTCTTTAACTTTATTAGTCATTAATGTTTCAGTTGTGGGTTGTAGTGGGTTTTTAATGTGCCCTGTGGGAGTCATGGTTTGTTCCCATTTCGCCTTAACTGTAAATTTTGCTATTCCCATTTCACCTTAGTACCTTCTGGGGTTTATTAAGGCAAAATGGGAACTTGTGTAAACATATAATTATGTGTAATTATGTGTATAATTATTGTTTGCATTGCATAGCAAAATTTCAAAGATTTCAAATTATTTGCTCACATTGAAAATGAGTGATTTTGTGAAAATTATGCAAAAATGATACAAAATCTGAAAAAATAGATGAAAAAGTGAAGTCATATAAAATACTGTAGAATACTGACTTAATATATTTAAGATTTACATGAAACATTTAAGACTAAGGCACTACATAAAATTATTCACATTTTTAAGAATAATTTTTGCAGATTTCTTATTTTTTAATTGTACAATGACTCTAGAGGCTAATGATAATATTTACATATTAATATTTTTCGTTTTACATCCAAAATATTTCTTTTTTTACTGTGTAATTAACTCATCAGTAAAACAAACATCTACTTAATTTACATTTATTGTTTTAACAAAGGAATAATCAAATTCCCACTTCGCCTTACAACTTTTTCACATTTTCTTACCTATATTTCACAGTTAAGGCGAAATGGGAACACACCGGAGTCATTACTGCAGTTTGGCCATGGTTGTGGTCCACAGATACATGTAATACCAGAAATTCCCTACCCAGGAACTTTTTATTCATTGGTTTTTGGAAATCATATCCCCGGTTGCAGATTGAATATCAAATAAGATTTTTTAAATGTCATTTTGATTTCCATTTTTTTTTTTACCTTTTTTTTTTCAAATGTATATACAATTTTCTATCGGCATTATATGCACCCCTCCCAAAAATGAATTACATTTATTCTTCCTGTGTATTTATATGTATAACATGTCTCTATTCATACATATAAACGTGCAATAGATTTGACTAATAATATCTTACCTTATTTGAAGTTTCAGCATTCAAATTCTAATATTGATCCAACTAGACATTTATCTGATTATTTATTTTATATTCTTTCAGGAATGTTTGCTTACTGGTATGTAGTACAGAAATACGGTGCCGTCTGAGCGAATTGGGAATTTTTACCGAAAGGGCACATGGCAAATCGTGATGTTTTAATTTGTAACGTTTATTTTTTCATATTTGTCATGATTCAGATTTATCCTGATCCGAATGTTGGCCTTAGCTGGAAAATCTGAAAATTGTAGTTTAAAAAAAAGTTTATTTTTTCATATTTGTCATGATTCAGATTTATCCTGATCCGAATGTTGGCCTTAGCTGGAAAATCTGAAAATTGTAGTTTAAAAAAAAGGGGGGGGGGCAGAAAGAAGACAAAAAAGACCGAGATATAAGGAAGAAAAAAGGAAATGATGAATAAAAAAAGGTAATCATGAAGACTTAATTTTTATTTAGCAGAATTCCATTCCGTTGTCAAATACTCTCTCACCTCGGGGATATATAAAGTCCTCTGTACCAAAAGCAATTTTCAGAAATATTTATTAAATTTAAGAATTTATAACAGAATGGAGTCCCTGCGTCTGGCTCTGTGTTATCAACATGTTTACATGGAGATTCATCACTATTTAATTCAATATCTCTGGTGCGGTTGCCGGGGTTCAACGAGTGAATAGCTTGAAAATAGGTTTTGTCTGGTTGCTTTGACTGGGCGCGTCACAAATATGCATTGAGTAACGGTCGTTCATAATGATTTACATGTACATATGTATAACAGTCATTGGCAGTGACTTTTATATGTGATTCGATAACATATTTTTCTTACTGAAAGTTCGTTGACTGAATCCCGTTTAAGGTCTTTGAAAAAAATAAGGAAGTCGTGGTCCCAATAATTGTGTTATGATTGTGGGGGGTCATATAGCGATCGTTCCGCGCTCCATTTCTAGATGACACATTATTTGTTAACCTCAGTCACTGCGTGGTTCGTCCCGTAATGAACGCAGGATGAAACATGTATACAGGATCTTTCGTCTATTCTCATGTCTCGTTTTAAAAATGCATGTCTAATGAAAGGGAAAAATGAAACAAAATAGAATCCTTATCTCAAAAAATCTTCTTAAGAAAATTGTCAAATATCAGTAGCTTTTTTTTACTGAGATTGACAATCTGCAACCGGGGATATGATTTCCAAAAACAATGAATAAAAGTTTTTGGGTTGAGAATTTCTGGCATTATATGTGGCCAACAACCATGGCCTAACTGCAGTAATGACCCCCACGGGGCACATTTAAAATAGTAAATAAATATTTCAAAATTTGCAACCAAAAACTTTAAAACTCGAACATTATGAATTCCCTGAACCCCCAGTTAACTTTGGTCTAAGATCATGAACCAGCCTTTGTGTCACAATTAACCTCTCTCTCTCTCTCTCTCTCTCAGAATCAAGGTGCAGTCTGGCGACCTTTGTCTAAACAACCTTGGATCACGCCATGAATCACTCTATGATCATTATCACCGTTTATGTCAGATATAAGCATTTTTTTTCATTGCAAAAATGATCTAAACAAGAATTTTACAAATTCTGTGACCGACGTTGATCATGTTCAAATGAACAAATAGAGCAGTTTCTAACATAGAGTACTATAGTTAACTATAGTTTACGGTAGTAATTATAATAATTTCGCATCTATTTCCTATGAATGTAGAAATAGGATGCTGTTATCGAAGGAGTGCAAATACAGTTGTCTTTCCTAGCTAGTATCCAGTTATTCCCCTTAAATATTATATAAATATTGCATGTAGTTGAGTGTAACATTGAAAATTTTCACCCCAAGAAAACCATTGTCAACCTCGGTTTTCGAGGGGTGAAAATTTTCAATGTTACACTCAACTACATGCAATATTTATTATATTACACTGAATGTTTTATACAAATACATATTTAACAGTGAATCTTGCGTGCATAAATTCTGCGCAGTCGCGATTTTTTGGAATATCACCCGTCGTCAAGCAATGAGGACTGTTGCTAGGCTGGAGGGCGTGGCTTAATCATTCAGCGGGTAATAGTGTTTTTTAAACAAATGTTTCTCATGGAATCAGATTCAACTATTGAATTTATATGAAAGTATAATATGAAAACTTGACTAGATCTATGAGAATGATTTACATGTAGTGTGAAAACTTGTCTAGATCTTTGAGAATGATTTACATATAGTATGTAAACTTGTCTAGATCTATGAGAATGATTTACATGTAGTATGTAAACTTTTCTAGATCTATGAGACTGAATTACATGTAGTATGTAAACTTGTCTAGATCTATGAGAATGATTTACATGTAGTGTGAAAACTTGTCTACATCTATGAGAATGATTTACATGTAGTATATAAACTTGTCTAGATCTATGAGAATGATTTACATGTAGTATGAAAACTTGTCTAGATTTATGAGAATGATTTACATGTAGAGTGTAAACTTGAATAGATCTATGAGAATGATTTACATGTAGTGTGAAAACTTGTCTACATCTATGAGAATGATTTACATGTAATCTATAAACTTGTCTAGATCTATGAGAATGATTTACATGTAGTATGAAAACTTGTCTAGATTTATGAGAATGATTTACATGTAGAGTGTAAACTTGAATAGATCTCTGAGAAT